CATCTGTACCGGCCACATTCCGGTACTAAATTCAATATATATTTAAATATATCTACTTTATGTTTATGCCTATTATCATTGTTGACATTTAATTGTAAATGTATGACGGGAGAAGGCTGTGATAAATTGTAAAAACTTGTGCCCCATCCCTTGTTTAATTTTATTGGCAACACATTTATGTTTAAAGCTAAATAAATTTAAATTCTGAATATTGGCAAGTGTGCAATTAACTTCTAATGATGAATAATAACTGTTCAATAAGTTTGAATACGGACTTAGAAATCATATAACTTGGTTTCTTAGTGCGGTAAGAAGTTGCAGTTGCATGACGGCCCCTCTCTGGGGTCCCTTGGAAACCGTTTCATCTCGCTCGCACCACTTGTGTTCACTGCCTAGTCAGGTGACGTTATCGGCGCTATTTTTAGCAGGGCTTTCCCGAACAATTCAAGTGGTCAAACTGGACATTTGGAACGGACTATGAATATGGGGATAGCGAGGTAACATAAGTGGAAGTGCATACAATACATATATTCATTAAAAAAAACAACGCCTTTTCACGTGATGTCCCTTTAATGAACTATCCTTGTGTATAATACATTGCACTGACTATTCAAAATTGATGTTGTTGCTGTTCTTATGGCAGCTTAAGGTTAAATAACCATTATGGTAGATGCCAATTGCATGCAAGCATAAGATAATGCAAATATGTTTTAATTTGAAACAAAAGTTGGAAATACATTTATATGAAACCTGCATGAAGCCCTTTGCCATTAAGGCATTTTGAGATGTTCATATCAGATGGAACGATGTCATAGTTCATACGTATCTAAATCCCAATGCAAAATTTTTAGAAACTGTATTATTAACCAATACAAAAACACCTCAGCATTCAGTCTATCCTGTAGGTGTCTAATAGTGACGTGAATTCCAAAACAATCCTATACGCCCTGGCCAAAATCTTTTTAACATTGTCACTATGATGCCATTTACATCACTAATGGCCATTGATAATGTGTTATTTGTCCCATGTGAAACAACCGCACTGATGACATTGAATGAGATTGATCCCATGTGACTAGCTGAGCAGACTAGCAGTCTTACCTCCATGAGCCACATTCCCGAGGAGGACGTTGGATTCCTGTAGGCGTAGAACACCCAGCCTCCGATACTCCCTATCAGGATCAGTAGTAACACAATCACTGCTATCACAATGCCTAGGGACAAATCTAAAAACAAACATACAGTATAGTTGTAAATCAGTTCCGGGCTCTTGTTGAGAGATTCAACCACAGCTGTCCCAAAATCACATGAGCTCTGAACTACAGAAACAAAAACACATGTAAATAAATTTATCTTAGTTATATAATGAGTGTATGGATAAGTGTGGGTCAGAGTTCAGCACGTGTCGCAGTACAGGCACATGCGATAGGTGAGCTTAGGACAGTGATGACACATACAGCTGTGTGTGTCTGCCTAGCCATTGAACGATAGACTTTCCTACCCACCCGCCTTTTTCAGAAATGCATGTTTCTGTGTCATTCATTTTGTGAGTGCAGAATCTTTAATAGATGAGCACACCATGGACGTTCTTAACAGTTCAAAGCCAAATCGAGGTGAAGATAGAGAGGAATGTAAAGTTGGAGACTTGGTGTTTGAAATTTTGATTAATCATTGTATAATGTGAATAAATGTACGTCCACGTTTAGCTAGGCAGACGAACTCCCAGTAATGAGTTTGAGTTTACATGATAAATGATTTATGTTCGTTTGAGAGGAGCGAACTAGAACGACAATGATTTTTTTATGACAGTAACGGGGGAAAATTGAATATAACAGTGACTATAGGGACTATCAACTCTTGTTTCACTGTTCCACCTGACAGCACAACAGTTTCTCTCATCCAAAGTATTTTTAAATGTAAAACGCAAATGACAGGACTAATGACATATCATGTTATGTAAAATTATAAAATTCTCAGGATAAAAATCAATGAAGTACATTGTATGTGCTCCCAAAATTACCATTCTTTGAAACCTGACAGGATAGTTTTAATGCTTCAATGATAATATCATGATAAATTAGCCCAAATTTTAAAAAAAATGTGCAAGAGATATGAAAACACTTGATTTGAACAATAATACAATGAATGCACAATGGCACAGACACTAATGATATTTTCTTTGAGGACCATTTTTTTCAAGTATGACTTGAGCACATTTCACTATCACACAACGATGATACAAGCATTATGATTGGTTGAATATGCACTACTACTACAAATGTGTAAAGGGAGAAAATAGTCCCCACTTCAGGAGTAAGACAGAAAAATCTCAACCCTCGGGGTACTTAGATTATAAAATGTCTGAGATTTTCCGTCTTACTCCCAAGGTAAGGAAAGATTATATTTATCACTTTTATGGTTTGTGTATACAGCAGTTTCGCTTCTTACTTTAATACAGATACATTGACTGTGTCCTCAAGTCTTTCTTTTATTTAAAACCTGTCACCCCTCACAGTTCAGCTTATGTTTTACTCTTATCAAATACAAGTGGTAATTTCATGAAATGCAAACATTAATTTTTACAATTTTGAGCAGATATGAGTTATTTTCTGTGATGCCCTAATGTTGACGTGTCTTCAATGCATTTTTTGACATGACGTCATTCAATTATTCTGACAAGGGATATAATTAGTGCCCGAATGGCATTACTTAACTCTTTATGCTGCGAGTTAAGTGATGCCATTCCAGCACTAAATTATATCACACTTTATTATTCATGAACATAAGATTTTCACTTCAATTGTTAATATATTTAGTACTATCAGTATTGCTCAGACTTCCTGCTTCAAAAAGTTCAAGGTCATGTTAGAGATTAACGAGGTATTTTCCTTTTCCCATTATTTGGCCTTATAATAATGATTGATCTAGTTTTACCTGAGCCTGCATTCATGATACCATCCTCATGCTCAAGCTTAGATTATTGCTCAAACCAACTTTCTTGTAACTTGCTTTAATCATGCGACATGGTCAGACAGTCATGTGTGAACATTTACAAAATTCCAAAAATGTTGAAACAAAAAATTGGGCTTATAAGCACAGAATTTGAGTTTGAGTATGAGAACAGATGTATAAGGACTGTGGTATTACTTGGTAGGTAAGCTGTATTTGTTACATACCTTTATTCTTGTTGTTGAGTAGATCACAGTTAGCATTGCCAGCCTGCAAAGTAGAAATAAAACAATGTAAGGGGAGGTAACTACCAACACTCCCTGATCTCTTACACCCAAACCAACTTCATGCAAACACAGAAACAATAACTTTACAAAATTTTACTCACATGCAATCAATACTCAACAACTAACATTTCCTAACAGCTCCCATCATGCAACAGGCCTTGTGCCAATCATGCAACTTCATGCACTAACAGATGATAATACACAATGATAATCTACAAAAATTGTATAGCTTCCTATATGGGTATGTTCATCGGAGACATGTTTTAACTGTACAGTAAAACCTCAGTATAATGTCCCTCGTGTAATTTGTCGTCTCATTTACCGGCAATGTATTTCAGTGTCGCTTTCACTCTCTTTTGCGTAGGAATCTTTTTACCGATATACATGCATGTCTATCACCCTATCTTACCAAACCCCTTTATAACAGCTGATTTCTCTGGACAAATGGGTGTCGTATTACAAGGTTTTATTGTATATACTGGCATGGTAAAAAACAACATTTCATATACATAGAACTGTATTATGGTAGAACAAAGAATTATAATTAATTACAGCAAATTATGCCAAGTAAACTTTATGAAGATCTATGCATCAGTCTTAACCCTGAAACGATTTTCACCATCAGTGTTTCTGATAACTCCTAATGTCCTTTTTGGACAATATAAGTTAAAAATAAGAGTAACAGCTGAAATTGATGTTTGGATTAAGATGAGTACGGTATAAGGTTAATGTAATGAAAACAAATCTACATCAGTGTTAGTTATTTATTCTGTTCGATCTCAGAAACACCTCTTCCATGTTTGATCTAATTAAGAAACACCTCTTCCACGATATGCGCACTAGTGTATCCTTTTTCTGGTTAGAACATCTAATCCCTTCACCATAATTTACTGGCTTATTGGCAAGAAGTGTCAATTATGTTCTGTATTCATTCAGTTTTTACAAAATTGCTGAGTGCCCAGAGTACATCGGTGTTTAAATACAGCACTGCTAGTCCAAAGGGTGCAAGAGTGTAAATGTTAGGCAACTCAAGTGGTTATTTTTAATAAACAGTTAAAAAAAAGCAAAACAACCTGTTACATCATTAACTATGTTCATTATCAGTCAATGGCGACACCTCAAGATATGTTGGTTCTCTGTTGAGGATGACATGATGATTTTCAGGAGAGGGTGATATGTTGTCAGTTGAGGGTGATATGTTGACAGTTGAGGGTGATATGTTGTCAGTTGAGGGTGATATGTTGCCAGTTGAGGGTGATATAATGTTGCCAGTCGGGGGTGATATATTGCCAGTTGAGGGTGATATGTTGACAGTTGACGGTGATATGTTGCCAGTCGAGGGAGATATGTTGTCAATCAAGGGCTTTGTACTTTTCACAAATGTTTCATATTTTGTTTTTTTCTGCAATTCATTTCTGAACATAAAACATTTGACACCCATTCCCGACTGAGAATGTTTTCAAAGTTAAGAATCGAGGCCTTGTCAAAAGAAGAATTACTACAGACAATACAAAAGAAAAGATAGATAATACCTACTGCCAAAGTATGATGTAAATAACAGATAACCTGTAGCTATATTGACCAGGTGTACAGAATCAAACTGCTAAAAGGTGTTTACAATCAAGTGGTGACAGTGGTTAGTGATGTGTGTGCTCATCAACACTGGTTACAAACAGGACACAGGGGGTCAATATCCTTAAATACAATATCCTTATATATACAAAGTTTGAATTCAGCGATAAACAACCCGTTCTCACACGACCCTGGCTTTTGCGAGGCCATAAAATTCCAAACAAACAAATAAACACAGATCAACAATAAGTATACACTGTAAGACTCACAAACTGCCAGCAATAGTACAAATAAAAAACAGAAATGTGTTTGCAAAAAGTCCAATAAAACCTCAACAAATGATGCTTCTCATGCATGCTTTGTGCTTTTGACATCCCTGCAAATCAGCGGTTTTATTTTTTTGTCATCATTCATGTTACAAAACCATGTCGTTGCCATATGCTTGCTTGTTTTAAAACTGATGGAGCCTAAGCAATCGAAAATCCAGCATTTTGATGGATCAAAAATATATATTGTGTGATGGAAATCCCCTGTTACTACGTATGATGTCAACACACAAAAGGTGACTGCGATGTTAACCCCTCGTACAGGCATTCAACAATCATCACAATTTGTCAGCACCTCTGAACAAGGTTTAAGCCCATCACAGAGAAGCAACCCTCAGTCAGGTAACAAATGCAATTCAGTAAATAATTTACATCCTCATTCCTTCTATTTTGAATTTACATTTTGTTCTGGTTTTGTTTGAAATTTTAATACTACTTCTGTACATTCTTTATCAGCAAGTAATTGTAAGCCTGTCCTCAACATAAACAACAGCCGTTACACAGACCTGTTGGTACCACCATGAGGCCCATAGATTATCATATACAAAATCTACTTCCTCCTTCAGTCATGGCTTCATAATAGAATACCAAAATGGCTTAGTTATCCTGTCATATTTCATAACCGAATACCAACAAGGTTAAGTCATTGTATGGATGATGACAATGATGATGGCTATGAGAAACGGATAGGTTGAATGTTAATGATCAGGATGCTGATGATGATGATAATTGTGAGGATGATGATGATAATGGTGATGATGATGAGTGAATTAAATGTCAAAATGTGTGTAAGAGAGTGTGAAAATGAAAATACCTGTTTTGTATCTATATTATGAAAAAACGTTGGAAAAATAAAATGATAAAAAAAGTCATCTAGTCATGACATCATCGTAGAATACCAACATGGCTAAGTCATCTAGGCATGACGTCATTGTAGAATACTAACATGGCTAAGTCATCTAGGCATGACGTCATTGTAGAATACTAACATGGCTAAGTCATCTAGGCATGACGTCATTGTAGAATACTAACATGGCTAAGTCATCTAGGCATGACATCATTGTAGAATACTAACATGGCTAAGTCATCTAGGCATGACATCATTGTAGAATACTAACATGGCTAAGTCATCTAGGCATGACATCATCGTAGAATACTAACATGGCTAAGTCATCTATGCATGACATCATCGTAGAATACTAACATGGCTAAGTCATCTAGGCATGGCATGACATCATCGTAGAATACTAACGTGGCTAAGTCATCTATGCATGACATCATCGTAGAATAATAACATGGCTAAGTCATCTAGGCATCACATCATCGTAGAATACTAACATGGCTAAGTCAACTAGTCATGACGTCATCATAGAATACTAACATGACTAAGTCATCTAGGCATGACGTCATTGTAGAATACTAAAATGGCTAAGTCATCTTGGCATGACATCATCGTAGAATACTAACATGGCTAAGTCATCTAGACATGACGTCATTGTAGAATACTAATATGGCTAAGTCATCTAGGCTTGACGTCATTGTAGAATACTAACATGGCTAAGTAATCTAGGCATGACGTCATTGTAGAATACTAACATGGCTAAGTCAACTAGGCATGACGTCGTCATAGAATACTAACATGACTAAGTCATCTAGGCATGACGTCATTGTAGAATACTAACATGGCTAAGTCATCTAGGCATGACATCATTGTAGAATACTAACATGGCTTAGTCATCTAGGCATGATTTCATTGTAGAATACTAACATGGCTAAGTCATCTAGGCATGACATCATTGTAGAATAATAACATGGCTAAGTCATCTAGGCATGACATCATCGTAGAATACTGACATGGCTAAGTCATATAGGCATGACGTCATTCTAGAATCCTAACATGGCTAAGTCATCTAGGCATGACATCATTGTAGAATACTTGACATCATTGTAGAATACTAACATGGCTAAGTCCTCTAGGCATGATGTCATGGTAGAAAACTAACATGGCTAAGTCATCTAGGCATGAGGTCATTGTAGAATACTAACATGGCTAAGTCATATAGGCATGACGTCATTCTAGAATCCTAACATGGCTAAGTCATCTAGGCATGACATCATTGTAGAATAATAACATGGCTAAGTCATCTAGGCATGACATCATAGTAGAATACTAACATGACTAAGTCATCTAGGCAGGACGTCATTGTATAATACTAACATGGCTAAGTAATCTAGGCATGACGTCATTGTAGAATACTAACATGGTCAAGTCATCTAGGCATGACATCATTGTAGAATAATAACATGGCTAAGTCATCTAGGCATGACATCATGTCATTGTAGAATACTAATATGGCTAAGTCATCTAGGCTTGACGTCATTGTAGAATACTAACATGGCTAAGGCATATAGGCATGACGTCATTGTAGAATACGAACATGGCTAAGTCATCTATGCATGACATCATCGTAGAATACTAACATGACTAAGTCATCTAGGCATGACGTCATTGGATAATACTAACATGGCTAAGTCATCTAGGCATTACATCATCGTAGAATACTAACATGGCTAAATCATCTAGGCATGACGTCATTGTAGAATAATACTAACATGGCTAAGTCAACTAGGCATGACGTCATCATAGAATACTAACATGACTAAGTCATCTAGGCATGACGTCATTGTATAATACTAACATGGCTAAGTCATCTAGGCATTACATCATCGTAGAATACTAACATGGCTAACTCATCTAGACATGACGTCATTGTAGAATACTAACATGGCTGGGGGATCTAGGCATGACATCATTGTAGAATACTTGACATCATTGTAGAATACTAACATGGCTTATTCATCTAGGCATGAAAGCATCGTAGAATACGAACATGGCTAAGTCATCTAGGCATGACGTCATTGGAGAATACTAACATGGCTAAGTCCTCTAGGCATGATGTCGTTGTAGAAAACTAACATGGCTAAGTCATCTAGGCATGATGTCATTGTAGAAAACTAACATGGCTAAGTCATCTAGGCATGACGTTACAATAGAATACCAACATGGCTAAGTCATCTAGGAATG